TACTACACTTACTACACTTACTACACTTACTACACCTACTACACTTACTACAGATACTACAGCTACTACAGATACTACACTTACTACACTTACTACAGCTGCTACACTTACCACAGTTACTACACTTCACTACACTTACTTCTGTGCCTAGAGGTCCGACATGGCACTGGTGTCTCAGGACATTTCATGGGGTCATACATGAACTACTGACCATTATTTGCCAGGCGTCCCAGGCGAATTTTCCCGACAAGCTTGACAGGTGACGTCACATCCGAAATCGCCGAGGACGACTGGGAACGAGGCTGGTCATACCCATAAAACAGTCCCCATTCCACCCTCTTGCGTCTACTGTCCTGTCCCCTACTCAGAGTAATCAATACAGTTTTAAGACAAACAACGTTTTTTCGGATCAATTAAGGTTTCTACCCCACCTACCACTCCCCTAACCCAACATTTTGCCCCTAAGTGAGACCTACATGTCAACGTTCAGTTAGGGGAGGGGTAGGTGGGCATTTTCCCACAAACCTAAATTGATCCGTTTTTTCTTTATTATGTGTGTTGAACTTTATTATCCTACTGATTATCTTCACCAAACTGACTGATCAAAATAAAAAGAAAAAATGATACAAAAAGAGCAATTAGAAAAAATCTGGAAGATATTTATATACCGTGAGGTATTAGTTTTCTATTAGTTTTCAGTAACTTATCTCAGGACCATATTAATAATTTCAAACATTCTTTAGAAATAAATAGATAATCATTTCCACCTATTTAGGGACTTGTGAAAGTTTGCTCGACCTCGCTATATAAATAACAGTTCATAAATGCAAGCTTTTCCAGGTTTAGTGTTATTTTCTTTCTTGGTGTTGAGGCTGGTGTAACGCCGACTAAATAACGTTAAACGGAAGACTGGAAAGACGCTGAACAGTAACCAAACCAAAATATGAAGCATTGAACCTACAATTTGCTAAAACAAAGTGACGCGTGTGATAAAAACCTAGCAAAGTGATCGCCAAATCAATGGCTTACAAATGCGCGCAGACGTCTCTTATCGAGACTCAGTTGAAAATGTGAAGCTCAACTGAGTTCTTTTCCTATAACACAACTTCGAACACTTGCGAGCCGGTTTTAAATACAGCTTATTAAATAAGCATTAACCTTGTGGATACCACTCTTATAATAAATAAATTAAAAAATAGATTAATTGCCCAATTATCCTTTTGACTAATAACACGCAGCAACATCGATACTAAATGATCTATCTCGCTTTGATAGCAATTACAATACTATTTGCCAATTTTTTGTAATACACGTTTCAATTTACAGAAACAATTCCTCTTCTTCTTTCCACCGGAATAACTTCCAATTATTTCTCCTGGACCCCAGGCCTCACGAGCGACGCTATTGTGCACGTGATCTTCGGATTCCGAAGACTCCGCTGACCGACTTGTATCGCTGTCCGGCTTTACTGTATACAAATGCAGACTTGGATTTGAGCTGGCTGGGGTTAGTTGTGGTGAGTGGCCATGTATTGGCGTAAAAGGAGTTTTGGCTTTACCGAAAGGTTTCGGTTTGAATTTCAAAGTCTCTGCAGCTAGGAAAAACTGAGCCTCATTAGGCTGAAGAAACCACACTAATTGGTTTTTGTCGTCTGTGAATTCCAGTACTTCATCTTCCACTGTTGAGATTTCCTATACCAATGAAATAACGAGAAATGGAGGAATAAGAAACAAATAAGATAAACACAACAAACATAACAGACACAAACTTAAATTTGTAGTGCTTTTCCGCTTTAATTATGGATCTTATAAGAGTCAATAAAACTTGATATTTCGAAACTGGATCTTTTCTTTCCATCAAAATTACCTCTTCTCGTTGTTTTTTATTCATTTATTTATTTGTTTATAATATATTTGCTTTCCGTGAAATAGCTTAAAATGACATCAGTTTTCATTCTTCGTAACTCTAAGGCCAAACTAAAACTTGTCAAAGATTACTTAAGTTTGAAGTTGTTATCGTTAGTCTTAATGATTCTCTGATATTTAGCGTTCATTAAAGAGCGATGCCAAACGCCTAACGCGAGTTTGCCATAATTTGCCGTTCTGTCGAAGCCCAAACTAAAGTGAATCATTTAACATCTGAGCAGTTGAAATTCCTGAAACTTAACCAAACGCACATCTTTACAATAACACAATATTAAATAGTTCCCTTACCTTGTTTACATTTACAGCATCCTCGAAAACTCTTCTTGCTGATTCTGCAATATCCTAAAAGATTGTAGTGCTTAAATTAGTGCTTACTTAAATTGAGTGCTCATAATCGCCACGCGAATCGCATATATACCCCAATAGACAGACGGCACTCATCATTGGCAAGTCACTGCAGAGCATTTTTTCTCGACCATCACGCACTTGCGCACTTGTCAAAGACAATCACATCTAGCAACCCTCCCTTCCTTGGCACTATCCGTCAAGTCTAAAAAGCAGTGGCCCAAATACAGATCGGTGTGTTTCACACATGATTAAGTACGGCCTGAGAGTTTCGTTTGCGTGGTCACGACACTGAGGAATCGCAGATGTCACGAAATGTTTTCAACTTGAAAATAAGATAACTACGATATTTCAAAACGTAGCTTACATCGAGTGTTCCCTCATAGTCCTTGCAGATGCTTTTGCTGCTTATGCTCACGCCAATCTCGTCGTAAGATACGTCATATAAACTAAACAGTGTTTCTCCCTTGTCCTTTTTGAACTGTTTGTGTTCCCAGGCACCAGTATGCGGATCAAAGTGATACTAAAACAACAATAATCACGATTGAGGTTGGATAAGTTGGATAGTTAAAGAAGTTTTCGCGGTCCACTACGGGCCACTACCTCATCGGTACATAAGCAAACGCAATTCATGGAGCATGTTATAAAAAAGCAGGAGCTCAAGGCCTGGGGTGTCCACATCTCAAGATGTGGATACATAACTTAAACAAAAAAATCTCATTTAATCAAAATATGATAGGATTAACTAAGCCCATACAAAGGAGGCACAACTTCTAACCAAGAATTCGCAAGCCTATATATACGACTTTGTGTGCCAGGCATTTTTAGTTTTCTCAGGGTTCTCCAGAAAATGTCAAAGGTAGAAGGAGAAAAACATTAAGTAGGCGGTGAAAGATAAGATTGCGCTGCACATCGACATTTGCATCATATATCCAATTT